TCGCCGCCGCCGCCGCCGCCCTCGCCGCCGCCGCCGCCTTCCCCTCCTCCTCCTTCGCCTCCTCCACCACCTTCTCCACCACCACCTTCTCCTCCTCCTCCTTCTCCTCCTCCTCCTCCCTCACCCCCTCCGCCGCCGCCATCGCCGCCGCCGCCGCCGTCGCCGCCGCCTCCTCCGCCTCCGTCGCCGCCGCCGCCATCGCCGCCGCCGCCGTACGCCTGCAACTTGCTCTCGGACCCGGCCAACGGTACCGTCTCCTTCTCCAACTTTGGCTATCTCGGCTCAGTCGCCTCCTACACCTGTGATGTGGGCTTTGACTTTGTCCTCGGCTTCCAGGAGCGGACGTGCATGGGCGGAGGCTGGAACGGAACAAGCCAGCCGCCGCCCACCTGCGCCGAGGTCTCGTGCCCGCCGCTCCCGGTGCTGCTTGACGGGACCACGACCTGTACCGGGGCGTCGAACGCGATCACGCCCGGTGCGTTTGACGAGACGTGCTCGTTTGCTTGTGATGACGGCTTCACCCTCCTCGGCTCGACGGCGCGGACGTGCACGTGGACGCCCGACTTGGGATCGATGTGGACCGGCGCCACACCGCCGTTCTGCTCGGCGTTCAACATCACCAACTCGTTTGTCACTGGCCTCGTCCCGCAATACACCGTGGTTGCCGGTGACACCATCGGCCCATTCCAGATGACCATTCGCGACTCCCTGGTCCAGCCGGTCGAGACTGGGCTTGACGTGCCGCAGGCGTACGTCTCGGCGCCGGCCGAGCTTGCCTCGCTCGACAACTTGGTCACGGTCTCCACCTACACTACCAACGGTATATACGATGTGACGATGCGGCCGCCGACGGTTGCGGGCTTTACGTACACGCTCCAGCTCGCTGTCAACAACGTCGACTTTGTGCTCGGAACTACTGCCGTCGACGCCGAGGTCGTGCCCGGCCCAGCGTCGGCAGCAGCGTCAACTCTCGACGATCTGCCTGATACGGGCACGCTCTCACTCGAGACGGCGACGGTGGTGACATACAGTGTCACGCTCCGCGATGCGTACGACAACGAGGTGACAACACCGCCGCTGGCGTCAGCTGTGTCGATTGCGATGCGGCTCGGCGTCAAGACGACGCCGGTGACATCGTTTAGCCTTGCCGGCTCCAAGCTCTCGTTCAGCGTGCTTGTGGCCGAGGGTGGAACGTACACGCTGCGGATCCAGGTCGGCGGCGAGGACATTCTCGGCTCGCCGTATGTGGCGCAGGTCTCAACGACGTGTCTTCCCGGAACGCGAAGTGTCGGATCCGGCACTACTGGGGCATGTGTCCCGTGCGGGGTCGGCACCTACTCGGAGACGCGCAACGCTGCATTCTGCACGGCGTGTCCCGAGTTTATGCGCGCGCCCGAGGGATCGGCATCGTGGATCAACTGCACCTGCCTCACCACATACTGGTTCGGACCGAACGGCCAGGTCGAGGGCCAGGGCTGTGTTCCGTGTCCGTTTGGTGCGGTTTGCGCCGGCGGCCACGAGCCGCCACGGCCGGGCCCCGGCTTTGAGCTCTCGGACGACGGCAGCTCGTTTGTGGCATGTCCGCGTCCGGCGTCGTGTGCCGGCAACGGAGTCTGTACCGAGGGCTACCGCGGGCGGCTGTGCGCCGAGTGCACCAAGGGCTGGTACCAGTTTGGCGACGGATGCCGCAAGTGCAAGGGATCGAACGCGCTGATCATTGTGTGCCTGGTGCTGGCAGTGTTTGGATTTGTGGCGGCCGTGGTGTGGATCAACATGCGCAACTCCAAGGTGTACGGGTATGCGGCGTTTGTCATTGCGCTCAACACGCTGCAGGCTGTGGCGATCTACGGGACGATCCGGCTGGAGTGGCACCCGCTGGTGCGCGGGGTGTTTGACGTTGTCTCGCTGGTGAACCTCAACCTCGACCTGGCGTCACCCGAGTGCGGAGTGGACGTCGGCGACGTGTGGATGTTCAAGTGGGGCATGACGATGGCGCTGCCGATCCTGTTTCTGTTTCCGTTTGCCGTGGTCACCCTCGGGTACATCGGACTGCGGAACGTGATGCGGAGGTGGCGGGCCTCGCGCGATGCCGACAGCGTGTACGGCAACAAGCGCTCGCTGTGCTCCCTCGAGTGGGCGGTGGTGTACGCGGCTGGGCGTGGGTACCTGCAGACGATCCTGCTGCTGTATCTGCCGCTGATGTACGCGGCACTGCGGTATGTGGACTGCACCGACGTGGGCGGCGGGATCGTGGTGATGACGACCAACCCGCAACGGCGGTGCTACACATCGTCATGGTACACGCTGCTGCCACTGATTCTGACTGTGGCGCTGATTGTGGGAACGGCCATTCCTGTGCTGCTGGGCATGTTCCTGAAGCGCAAGCAGGCGGCGTTGGATGAGGTGACGTTTGCGTCCAAGTACGCGTTCCTTGTGGCCAAGTATCGGAGCGACCTGTTCTGGTACGAGCTCGTGATTCTCGGGCGCAAGCTCGGGGTTGTGGTCTCTGTGTGCGCATTCTCGTCGCCAACAGTCAAGGCGACGATGGTCGCACTGATGCTGCAGTGCGTGCTGGCATACTCGCTGCTTGGACGGCACTATCCATACGCTGAGCGACACCACAACATGATGGATTTTTCAACGCTCTTCGGGTCTGTGGTGCTGCTGTGGGGCGGGACCATCACGTCGTCGCGGGTTCTGCGCGACGGAGTTGTGATCGCAGCACTGGTGGCACTGCTGGCAATTGTGTGCGTCGGAGTGGTCTACGAGCTGTGGCGGATCAAGCAGCGCGACCAAGAGGATGCTGAATTGGTGTTTGAGAACATCGAGTTCGAAGGCGCCGGCATGGAGTCCGGGGTCGAGATGATGACAGTCGGGCATCATGCAGCCGTAGACTTTGACAGCGGCGTGCTGGAGAGTGAGAATATGGGTCGATGATGAACCCAGTCTTTGGCTCAACCAATCCTTCGTTCGGCTCGACGAATGTGGACTTTGGCTTGACGCCGTACCGCGGTCTTGACTCTGTCGTCGACGATGACGAGGCCAAGTCGAGCCTGATAGACGGGAGCACAGCGCAGTTTCTGGCCATGCCAGCGAGCACGATGGCGCCGACCTCTGCCTGCAACTCGCTCTCATCGTGCTGCTTTGACTCGGTCGACACGAGCGTCTCGCCGCTGACCTCGATTTCCCAGCCGCCGCCGATGCCGCCGTCGATGCCGCCGCCGCCTGAGATGCCTCTGGTTCCGCCGAGGCCCCCGGGACCGCCACCGCAAGATGTCCCGTCGTCATCTTCGTCGTCGTGCGACTCGTCGTGAACGGCGACAGCGATAAACTCACTTACCTTTTGCCCTCTCCTGGGTAGGCAGTACCTCGCCAATGGGCACTCTATGTCTTGGCATCACGAAGACGGAAGAGTCATAGGCTACGTTGCGACGGCTGTCTGTCCATCGGTCGACGGCCAGCCAGGTGACGAGACACCTCACTCACTTTCTCTCTTCGCCAAATGCTGTCGTTTCGGGCAGCGGCTGCCAACCGAGTGCGAGTCCTGGTCATCGTCCCGAGCCGGGGCATGGCCAAGGGCGCAAAGAAGGTGACCAAGGCGAGCAAGAAGGCCATGGCCGCTGAGGCTACTGGTGGCGATCTTCCCAAGAACGACGTCGCAAAGCTGGTACGTCACCACCGCTGTACCTTCCCCCGCAGCCCGTCTTCCCTGGCCTCCCTTGCGGTGGAGGGGGGATGGCGCCCGGCGGGGAGAGGGACCGGCCGCTCCTCCTCCTCCTCCCTCCCTCCCCCCCCTACCATAGAGAAGAACGACATCGACTCACGGATACATGGGGCATGTGGGATGTAGATTAGTCTGGTCAAGCCACAGTCCATTCCGAGGCGGAGTGTGAGCAAGGAGCAGGCGGCAGAGGAGCAGATGGTGGTCGACGCGTACGCCCGGCATCTGCTCGTCACCACCCGGGCGGGTAAGGAGCTGGATCGGACGCGGCTGGCGCTGAAGCACGCTGCTATTGCTGCCCTCCCGGAAGATCTGCAGGTTGCGGCAAAGATCGTAGACACTACTCCGTTCCCGCCCTCGCGGCGCATCCCGCTCGATACCCCGCCGCATCCCTCCTTCGACGACGTCCTCGCCAAGGAGCAGGACGAGGTCTAACCGCCGACCCCTCCCCTCCCCGCACCAAGCCGGCTCGTCTGTCTGGCCAGGATGGCGTGCCCTGTTGAATCTCGCCTTGTTTTCTTGCTGTTGGCTAAAGCCGGGCGTCTTGGACCTCATCGCTCGTGTGTGTCTTCGAGGGCAGCGCGCTGCCGCTGCGGTCGTGCTCATGTAAAGACTTCTGTCGAGGCGGGGGAGGCGTTCACTGGAGGATGAGGGGGCCGAGGACCAGGGCAAGCGTTGACGTGGTGGTGATGATGACATGCAGGGCCGGACCGGCGGTGTCCTTGAACGGATCGCCGACAGTGTCGCCGGTAACGGCGGCGGCGTGGGCGTCCGAGCCCGACCCGCCGTGGGCACCGGCCTCAATCCACTTCTTGGCGTTGTCCCACGCACCGCCAGCGTTGTCGAAGAAAGTGGCGGTGAGGAGGCCGGCGAGGGCGGAAAAGACAAGGAAGGAGGCGAGGACCTCGGCGGCGAGGTTGGGGAAGCCGGTGATGGCGGCAAAGGTGCGGAAGAAGAGCGCGACGGCAACAGGCATGCCAAGGGCAAATAGGGCAGGCTTTCGCATGGAGACCAGCGCCGCCTGGGTAACAATTGCCACGCATCCGCCGTAGTCAGGCTTGCTCGTCCCGGCCATGATGCCCGGGTCGGCCTTGAACTGGCGGCGGACCTCGATGATGACCTCCTGCGCGGTGTCGCCGACGGCCTTGATGGCCCACGCCGAGAATACAAAGACAGTCATGATGCCGAGCAGGCCGCCAACGAGCACCTCGACCGATGCAATGTTGACCGTCTCAAACGGCACGCCGCGGTACTCGCCGACCTCGTCGAGAAAGGCGCGGAAGAGGACAAAGGTGGCGAGGGCCGAGCCGCCGACGGCGTAGCCCTTGGTCGCCGCCTTGGTCACGTTGCCAACGGCGTCGAGCGAGTCGGTGATGGCGCGGATCTCCGCCGGCGCGTTGGACATCTCCACAATGCCACCGGCATTGTCAGAGATCGCGCCCATGTTGTTCATGGCGAGGACGTAGACGGCGGTGCAGAGCATGCCCATCGTCCCGCACGCCGTACCAAACAGGCCGGCGTTGCGCGAGTCGATGCCCGAGGTGTGCCCGAGAACGTAGCACGTCAGCAGCGAGAGCGAGATGACCACCGTCGGCAAGCCCGTCGATTCAAAGCCGACGGCGATGCCGGCAATGACGTTGGTTCCGTGGCCGGTTGTCGACGCTGCCGCGATCGACCGCACAGGCCCGTACCCATAGTCAGTATAGTACTGGGTGGTGAGGATGAGCGCGTTGGCCATAGCGATGCCAATGACGCCGCATCCGGCAAAGTGCATCCAGGCGCTCGGCGCCTGCGGCGTGTACAGCATCAGCCGCGTGACGAGGACGTAGCCAACAAGCGCCAGCGGTGTCGTGATCATGTAGCCACGCTTGAGCGCCGCCAGCGGCGACGCGTTGGCGTCGCGCGACGCGCGCACCATGTAAACACCCACGCCCGAGACCACCATGTCAAAGGCGTGGATGACCAGTGCAAAGAAAATAAACGGCGCCGAGTCGGCAAGCCCGCCGTCGTCGGCAAGCACACCGCCGAGGAGCATTGTTCCGATGACTTCGGCCGCAATCGACTCAAAAACGTCCGCCATGGCGCCTGCACAGTCACCGACGTTGTCACCGACAAGATCCGCAATCACGGCAGGGTTCCGCGGGTCATCCTCGGGAATACCCGACTCGACCTTGCCCACCAGGTCGGCACCGACGTCGGCGGCCTTGGTGTAGATCCCGCCGCCGAGCTGCATGAAGAGCGCCACAAACGAGGCACCAAAGCCGTAGCCGACGAGCAGGAACGGGACTTGCGCCACGTTGATTCCGGCGGTCATGCCAAAGAACACAAAGTAGGCCACAAAGAGAGTGGTGAGGCCGAGGACGCACAACGCGGCAGAGAGCATGGCCGACACAGCGCCGCCGCGGAACGAGAGCAGCAGCGCCGAGCTAAAGTCCATGTCGCCGGCAGCAGACGCCACCCGTAGGTTCGCCCGGACCGAGACCCAGACTCCGATGTAGCCCGCCAGCGCAGAGCACGCCGCACCGACCACAAACGAGAATGCAGTCACAAAGGCGAGGCCGGCGGTAGAGACCTCCAGCGACGCCATCGACGTCGGCCGCGCCTCGCGCGGGTCCAGCACCGGCTTGGACCGCAGCGCGTAGATGGCCACAAGCACGACTGCAGTCACCACCGCCATCTTGGCAATAGCACGATACTGCGTGGTGAGAAAGCCCTCGGCACCCTCCTGGATGGCGTCGGCAATGACCTGCATGGCCGCAGAGCCGCGTGATTTGGAGAGAATGTCGCGGGTGAGGAGGAGCACAAACAAAAGTCCGCCGGCCGTTGCCGCCAGCGCCACCGTGACGTAGAAGAACACGTCCCACGGGCAGCCGAGCAGAGCCAGCACCTCTACAGCTGCCGCCACACCGAGGCCGATCCGAACCGCCAGCGGCATGAACGCATCGTCGCCGGCAGCCGACCGCAGCCGCCGGCCTCCGCTAAAGGCCGAGTGGGCCAGCGGCGACGGCGCCATGCCGTGGCCACCGTAGTCTTCGCCGTAGCCATTGGCCTTGCCGTAGCCACCGCCATAGCCATTGCCATAGCCATTGCCATAGTCATCGCCAGCACCAGCACCAGCACCAACACCGACATCATCGCCACCGAGGCCGAGATCGGCGAGGCTGTTGCTCGGCTGAGCCGAGTGCTGGCTCGGGAATCCATGGCCAATGTCCGCATCGGGAGCAAAGGCATGCGGAGAATGGGAAGGAGCCATGGCATGCCCGCTGCCGCCGCCGCCACCTCCGCCACTGCTACCCGTCGTCATGCCCAGCCGCGGCGAGGCAGCCGGTGAGTCGGCCTCGTAGCCGTCGAACAGAGTCGCTCCAGACGCACCCGAGCCTGGCGGACCGGAGGCAGCAGCTGTGACAGGACCACGCGAGCGCAGCATAGTCAAAGCGCGGGATGAGTGTGAGGGTGAGTGTGAGCGTGTGGAGTGTCCGTGAGGGTGGGGTGGGGTGGAGTGGCTGGGGGTGGTAGTGAGTGGTGAGCCGTAGCCAGTGGCTGGGAGTCACGGACTCGCCTGCTGGCTGCCGACGTCATGGCTTTCGGCGGTCACGTGGTGTAACGGCGCGAGAGGGAGGATGGAGGGAAGATGGCGTGTAGGGATCAGAGGTTGAGTACAGGTGGACCATGTTCATGCCTCGCAGGTGTAGCTGCATGTTGCCGCTGTGTGCTACAGCATCGTGTGCTGGGTCAGATCCGGTGACGACATGTTGGCCGAGGAGAGGCCCTGGAGGTCGGACGGCGAAGGCAGCTCTGAGCCGATGGATTCGAGAGCCATCTCTGCGGCAGAGATATGCGGCGGGGAGCGAACTACGGTGAGGGCCGAAGTGGAGGCGCCGCGACGGGAGAGCGGGGTGAGCGACGACGGGCGGGTCTTGGAAATGGACGAGGCGCGGGTGCGCCCGGCGCGGGTCATGGGCCTTCGCGATGACGATGACGACGAGAGGATCATTTCCTCGAGCGAGTGCGACTGACGGCGCTTGAGGTGATTCTTCACGCGTGCAAGATTGGAGCGAGTCTCGTTCTGGCGGCGCTCGAGGACGGCGGCGGCAGCCTGGGATGTGCCACCCTCTGCAGCGACCTCCGACTCGAGCTCGGTCTTCTTCTGGCGCATGAGGCCGTAGAAGGCATTCTTGTGGATGTGCGACTCGAGGGCGGCCATCCACTCGCGCTTGATATCCTCGTTGGGCGCGCGGAGGACGAGCTGCTTCTCGCCCTTGAGGTTTGACGAGCCCTTGAGCTTGGCCATCTTGAGCGTAGCGCCCTCGGCGGCAACAAGCGCAAACTGTGTCTTGTGCTTGGTGGCCATATCGACGACGGAGACGTTCTCCAGCGGTAGGATGCCGCGCGGCGGGCCGTCGGCCTCGGCCTCGGCGGCAGAGCCAAAGTAGTAGAGGCAAGAGCCCGAGAGGAGGAAGAACCGCGAGTTCCACTTTTTGAGCCGACCGGCACCGCGCTTCTTGAGCTCGCCGCGAAAGTCGGGCGAGTCAAACGGCGTGGCCGGTCCGTCCGGCTTGAGGTTGATCTCGTTGGTCTTGATCGAGTGGTACAGCGCCTCGAGCAGGTCGGGCTCGATGTCCTGCCCGTTGTCGATGCCGCGGGTGGTGGCGAAGAACTGCTCGAGCGTCATTTTGTTCTTCACGCCCGGGTTGTGGGCGTCGGTGTTGAGCATAATGAGTGCAAACGCAAGGACGTACGCTGTGTCCGGCGAGGCAAAGAGCTTGGGTTGGAACTTATGGTACTGCGCCGCAAAGGTCTCCATAATGCGATCGATCTTCTGGGCCTCGCCCGGAAGCCGGAACGTGGCCAGGAACGCGCGCATGGCCTCGTCGAGGCGCAGGTCGTCAAACGAGAACGATGAGGCAAAGGCATCGAGAACCTGTCGGTTAAAGGCGTGCGGCTCGCCGAGGTATGCGCCGATGGACGACTTGTACAGTCCTTCTGTGGCAAGCAGAAAGGCAGCAACTTCGCCCGGCTCGGTCCCAACAAGTCCGGCGTCTTGCAGGAAGGCGAGGCCATCGCGCGGCTTGATGTTGAACTTTTTGACACCGACTGCCAGCTTGCGCGCCATCTTCTCCGCGGTGCTTAGCCGATCGGTGGCAAAGACGTCGGCCTGGTCCTCGACCTCAAGAAACTCTACGTAGTCCTCGAACGAGTCGACCGAGACCATGACGTCGACCCGGAAAGAGCGCGCGAGTGGGCCGCAGAGCAGCGCATGTACCACGTCCTGCGCATCGCCAAACGCAGCCTCGAGCTTGCCAAACGTCGCTCTGCTCTTGTTCCGCTCCAGCTGCCGTACACGAGCCACCTCGGCCTGGCCCTCGCCAAACCAACGGTAGATGCTCGAGGCAACGGCCTCGTCCTCGTCGTCGGCCCACTCGAGCGCGCGGTCCATCTCCTCCGACAAATCCTCTGCTGCTGCAATCATCATGGCCTTATCAAGCTCGGCCGCGCTTCGCGACCGGGACCCGCCACCGCGCTGCTTGCGTCCGCGGCGGCCGCTCGGCGAGCCCGGCGACAACCGCATCGGAATGGACGGCGACGTTGGTGTTTCTGGCGAGCCACACTGAGCGTTGTCGAGCAAGTCATTGCCGTCGGCCTGGGGCGGCGAGCTTGCCTCGGCCTCAGTCTCGGCCGCCTGAGCGTCGGGCTCCGAATGGGCCTCGACTTCGGTCTCGGCATCTGCAGCCACTGCCTTTCCAGCACCAGGCTCGTCGTCAGCCTCCTCTGCCGTCCCGTACGTCTCGTTCGTCTCTGACGTTGTCTCCAGCTCGCCGTCAGCAGCCAAGACCTGGAGACTATCTCTGTCCGACTGCGAAGGGTCACCTGCCCCTTTGGAGCCAGCTTGTTCATCATTGTCAACATGACCATCCGGATCTCCAGAATGCGAGAGGCAACCAGTATCATTCCCAGCTTGCAACATGCCTTCCAGTCCCTGTCCGCCACCACCGCCACCCGAACCTGTGTCTGACATGGGTGACAAGGGAGGGGAGGAGGGTGTATGTGTGTATGTATATATATATATATATATGTATGTGTGTGTGTGTATGTGTGTGTATGTGCGCAAGTGTGTGTGAGGAGGAGTGCTTGTGCTAGACGCGCGGGTGTGGCTATGCCGTGTCTGCCCGTCTGCCCCCCCCCCCCCCCCCCCCCCCCCCCCCCTCCCCTTCCTTTCCTCATTTCCGCGGCATTTCCGTTATTTTGCAGGTCCCTTCTCCCGCGGGGGGACCCCCCCCCCCCATTCGGGCAGAGTGCTGGGTCCCTGAGGAGGACGGGGGGGGGGGGGGGTTATTGGTGGAGATCGGAGTATGGTGGGGTATTGAAATGGGAATGGGCATGGAGAGGTTTGAGGATCAAGAGAGGAAAAGAGAGAGAGAGAGTGTGTGTGTGTCCGTGAGGGAGAAAGTGTGTGTGTGGTTGTCTGTGGGGCTCATGTGTGATTAATCGATGAATTAATCGTTGGATGGTGGCTGGTGGCAGAGGAGGACGGAACACCTGCTCCACGCGCCAGGCGCCGCCTTGTGCCAACCCCCTCCCCCTCCCCCCCCTCCCTTCCCCTTCTCAACAACACGACAGACTGACATACCTCACTCACTTCACGCAGAGTAGACACGTCCAGAAGAGGTCCGCAGAGATGGACAAGTACGACTCACCCATGGTGGCGTACCTGGGCGCCACCAACAGCTCGGGAAGGAAGGGTCTCCATGGGGCGGTGCCTCGACCGGCGCTGGCGGCGGCGGTCAAGGGGCTGGCAGGGGCAAAGGCAGTGGGCGGGAGTGGTGCAGATGTTCCGTTGGTATGTCCTGTCTTCCCGGCGCTCTGTGGATCGGTCTTTACCTGGCGGGTGGTGTTTGATGCGGCACGCGGCGCAAGGGCTACCTTACTTCCGGATCTCGTGCTCGAGCCGCAGCAGACGGCGCTGCTCACGGCGCGCTGGCCCGAACTGGCACCGGTTAAGGGCTGGACCCGAGACGATGTCACGGCGCTCGAGCGGCTACTCGCTGGTATGCTCGACGAGGTGGCCGCCGGCTACCGGGCGTCGCTGAAGGAGCTGTCAGGCAACGCGCTGCTCGGGCTGGATCTTGCGACGGCGTCGCAGCGCGAAGGCTTTGAGGCCATCTTGGTCGACGAGCGGCCCGAAGCGTGGCCGAAAGTGACAACGCTTGCTGCTCAGCTGGAGGCGGGACGGGCAGCGGCGGGTGCAAGGTTTGACGGCTGTGGCGAGGGCGCGCTGCCAGCTGTGGCGGCGGGAGCGACCGGGCGCTCCGCAGGCGAGACGAACACTGGCTCTGATGCCAACCTCTCGTCGTTCCGCAAGTGGGCGGTGATGCATGTGCCGCTGGAGGTTGATCTGGGGCAGTATGTGCTCGACACTGATGTGGCAGCGGCAGCTGAGGCACGGGCCGCCGACCCAGACGTTCACACTCTGGTGCTGCGGCTTGTGTACGAGCTCGACAATGGCGGACTTACCATCGGCAGCACGCAGGCCTCGCTCATCGTCTCGAGCTACTGGGTCGACCAGCTGTCGGCGCTCACACTCCCTACATGGGCCATGGACACTCCGCTAATGGACTTTCTCCCAGAAGTGGAGGCGGGCGTGGCACGCCAGCTACCGTTCCTGGCCCAGTCGCAGCTGCTTCGACAGGATCTCATCAACGCGCTGCTTGCCGACGAGGCGCTGGCACCGGCGCTCTTGGAGGTCGACCGGACCAACTATCTCAAGATCGCGTTCCTGCTGCGGACGGCGCGGGTTGCGGTCCTCGCCACCATCACGCTCCCGGCGGTCTTTCCGCAGCAGAAGCCCTCCATTGTCTTTGCCACCCTCGGCCACGTCCATGCACCGCCGGCCATCGGGCCCATCTCCTCCACCTACGACGGCTACCCGTATTCACCCGAGTGGGACACACCGGCCATGGTCGCTGCCATCAAGAACCAGCTCAAGACTGCTAGTCAGACCTTTGTCTCATCGCTTGGGTAGAGCGCCATGTAAGCAATTGTCAACAGACTGACGAGAGAGAGAGAGAGAGAGAGAGAGGGCGAGGGCGTGTGTGAGAGGGTGAGAGTGAGGAGCAAAGCGGGCGGGATGACCACCCGACTCGAGTGAGGCGCCGGGGTACCCCTTGCTCGTGTGTGTGTGCGTGTGTGTGTGTGTGTGAGTCCATGGGGAGAAGACACGGTAGGCGAGGCGATGGCGGTGATGCCTGGTATGGCCTGGCATGTGGAGGATGTGGCGCTGCGCTGTGTTGGGCCGTGACCCAGTTGGTGGCCACGCCGCCTCGGTCGGACGCAGTGGTGATGGGTGCGGCCTTTGTGCTGGCCATGGTTCTGCTGCTGATGTGTATGTCGATCGGCGTGTGGGCGTTTTCGGGCACGCGCACGCCGACACTCGCGGTTATCAGGATGCTGGTCCTCGGGGTGGCGGGCATCACCGCCGTCACCATCGTCTTCTCCATCTTTGTCGCCCATGTGCCGGCTGCCGACGAGCCGAAGGGTCAGCACTGCGTGGATGGCCGGCAGCGAGCCGCGTCATACGAAAGCATCATTCCCAAGCGACAGCGGAGGAAGAGGCCGACAGCAAGCCGACATGGCGGGGAGGCCGCGTTTGTTGTGGTCGGCATCGAGTCGTCGGGCTCTCGACTGACGGCAAAGTCGTTGGCGGCGGCGCTGGGGATCATGGACGGGTGGGACGGGCTAGAAGACATTGGAAATCGCAAGCATCATGTCTTCCATCGCTCGCTACCACACGGCAATCGCGATGTTGGAGTGCGTGGCTCGTTTCCAGAGATTCCTACGTTGGTTGCGTCGCTGGAGCGCAGCTTCGAGGACGTCTTTGTGGTGCTCACAGTCCGCGATGCGCATATCGAGCAGTGCTCCAAGCTCAACATGCATAATGGCGGCGATAGCACGACAAATGTGTGGGAGATGCAGCATGGGCGAGAGCTGGTGCGATCGCTGATGGCGGCGGGCTACGTCGACGTTGTCGTCTCGTACGAGGCGCTGATGTTCATTGGCGAGCCATACATGTATTCGATCTATGACAAGCTCGGCATCAAGTCAAGCTACATGCCGCGCCTAGTCGACGCCAACCACCGGTATATCCGGCCATGCGTCCCGTCTTCGTCCGGTCCGGTAGTGCCATTCTTTGACGACGCCATCGCGGCGCCTACATGATGGCACACCCACAGGTATGCTGGGCACGGCGGCGTCGGGTAGGAGCCGGTGGGCGCTCGGACTCTGGATCTGGGCGTGACGAGGTTGCTGAGGCCGAGGCCTGGTCCAGATTAGTGCGGAATCGCGGTGGGCGCGAGGCCAAGGGCGAGGCAGTCTCGGCATCGACGGTGGCCTGCGGGGTGAGCACGCGGACATTGGCGAGCGCGACAGGGCGCCAGGGCGAGAGCGTGATGTCAGTCAGCATGGCCAAGCTCGCCGAGTCGGCTAACACGCAGCTGCTGCTGTGTTCGTACGAGTAGAGCTCGTCATCGCTAGCGTCGTCAGCACTCTCATCATAAACATCGTCGTCGCTACGGGCGCTGCTCTCGTTGGTCTCGGCCGAGGTGGAGTCGGACGAGCGCGACGCCAGTTGCCAGTCGTCGTCACGGTCTTTGGGGCCAAAACGACCATCGGCGATCGGAGCATTGTCAGACGGGTAAGGTCGTCGGCGTCGGAGTCGGCATTACAACGGCCGGAGCTCGACTCCGAGTCGTCGATGCTGGACGAGTCGTCGATGGCCGACGAGGACTCATCCATTGCGTCCGAGACACGAGACGGGCCATCATCATCAACAGCCATAGCATCCTCGGCGCTGGTGCCGTCTTCAACATTGTCTGGCACAGTCTGGCGTCGGTTCCAGCCGCCGGCATTGTCATCGACGACCAGGATGGGTGCGCGGAGCAATTCGGCTCGGGCGCCTGGCTCCATGCGCTCCAGCTCGTCGGGAGGCGGCGTGCTGGGACGTTCCGGCCGCGGAGGCGAAGCGGGCATGGAAACGTCGCGATGGTGGACCGGCCGCGAAGACGGCGGGGTCGGGCGAGGCGGGGTCAGGATCTTGGAGGTGTTGGAGCCGACGTGGATGACCCGGAACGGGGTGTCTGAGACCGACGGGCGGTGGGGCTCGGCGGCGGCGAGTAGGGCCTCTGCACCGGCATCGCTCCCGTCGGACGAGACTTGGCCTTCAGGAGCAGTCCCATCAGCGGTCTGTCCGTACATGGCGGAAGCGGCGGCGAGCATGACCCTGAGGGCGGTGTAGCGATCATACATGGCCTGGAGGACAACAAAGACCTCGTTGCGGGCCTTTGCGGCAGCGATCTTGGTCTTGAGCGCAGCCTTCTCCTTGGCAAGCAGAGCAGCGATACGAGGCGACGGCGATCTTGCCCAGCGCAGCTTGGCCAGCAGGTTACATGTCCGCTGGTAGGCGACATACAGGGATTGGACCTGGGCGAGCTTGGCGGCATTGGCGGCCAGATCCGGCTCGGTGCTCAAGGTCCGTATCCGGCTCCTCAGGCCGTCACGGGCCTGTTCCAGCTCGGGTACGCTGGGCATGACGGCCGGTCGTCTCTCTGCACACCCTTCAGCGTGTCTTCTTCACCGCCTGCTGACTGTGGCGAGCGCTGGGGACAGGTGCGGGGAGTGGAGGGGCAGAGGGGCGGGGGGGAGAGGCGGGAGTATGATTGTTTGTTGATGTGAATAATGGTTGGGGGAGTATGATTGTTTGTTGATGTGAATAATGGTTGGGGGAGTATGATTGTTTGTTGATGTGAATAATGGTTGGGGGAGTATGATTGTTTGTTGATGTGAATAATGGTTGGGGGAGTATGATTGTTTGTTGATGTGAATAATGGTTGGGGGAGTATGATTGTTTGTTGATGTGAATAATGGTTGGGGGAGTATGATTGTTTGTTGATGTGAATAATGGTTGGGGGAGTATGATTGTTTGTTGATGTGAATATTGGTTGGGGGAGTATGATTGTTTGTTGATGTGAATAATGGTTGGGGGAGTATGATTGTTTGTTGATGTGAATAATGGTTGGGGGAGTATGATTGTTTGTTGATGTGAATAATGGTTGGGGGAGTATGATTGTTTGTTGATGTGAATAATGGTTGGGGGAGTATGATTGTTTGTTGATGTGAATAATGGTTGGGGGAGTATGATTGTTTGTTGATGTGAATATTGGTTGGGGGAGTATGATTGTTTGTTGATGGGATAATGGATGCTGTTTCAGGCGGCAAGCGTCAATTATCTCTCGATGCGATAATCGTTACCTCCTCCTCCACACTCCGCTCCACGCTATCGTCCTCCCCCCCCCCGCCTCACACACACGACCACCGAGTGCGAGTATGCCCGTAGGACGGGTTGTGACCACCCGTGCAAGCTCGCGGAGAACGGAAGGTGCCAAGGGAGTGGCGCCTGTGCGCAGTAGCCGTATGTCAGGAGAGGGGGCGGGGCGGGAGGGGGCGAGAGGGGGCGGCGGCGGGGGGGAGGGGGGGGGGCACAATGGAGAAACAGGATAGGGTCTGACTCATTAAGGGGCTATGTGTACATGGGGCACTTGGCGGGGGTGGGGATGGGGGACTGGTACAGGTCATGCGGTGCCGCAGGTGGTTCACACGGCACCACTGCTCACGCTTGCTGACTATCGCAGGCGGCGGCTGAGCCAGTTTGTTGCTGGGGAAGCGCTGTTCCCGCTGCCACAGACCTCGCTGGACTCGCTGGCGGCTGGTGAGGAGCTGGCAAGCCGAATGGAGGCGTTCCGGGCAGAGTTGGATGGCCACAGAGAGGCCCTGGTTGGGGCGTCCGAGGCCCAGAAGCAGCACAGGCGCATCGTCGAAGGAGCCCGCCGCAGGGCAAAGGCCCGCCTCCGGGCAGAGGCCACCATGGACATGCTGGCTCGCCGGAGCCATCGCGACGCCGTTCTTGCTGCAACCTCACTTTCGGGGTCGGCGCTGGGTGTGGAGCCACAGGGCGAGGGTGAGGGCGAGGGCGCTGCTGCCGAGGCCAGCGTGGCCGAGGCCAGCGGCGCGAGCGCTGATATGTCGGGCGCGCGTGCGTCGCAGCTGGACGAGGAGGCCGAGACGCTGCGGGCGGCTCGCGAGCAGCTGGCGGCGGCGCAGCAGCGACTGGTGGCGCTAAAGGACGCGCAGGACGAAGAGTATCTGGCGAGGCAGGCGCTGCTCGAGGCGCACGCCAACCTCATTCAAGACGAAAAGGTCTCGTTGGAGATGCGGCGGTCGGAACTCGACGAGGCTGCAGCGCGGCTGTCGCTGGCGCGGCGCGAGCTGGACGAGGAGCGGTCACGGTTGGCTGATCTACGGCAAGTGCAGGCGGCATCGCCGCTGGCAGCATCGCCGCTGGCAGCGTCGCCGATGCGGTCGCGGCTGCGGTACGACAACGACATTTATCCGTCGCCGGTCAGCGCGAGCCCGGGCTCGCCGAGTAGCGGCGGCGTTGGCGGCTCGCCGCCTCTCTCGCTTGGCTCGCTGGGTGCATCACTGCCTGCAGTTTCGCTGCCGCCGCCGCCGTCAACCGCGCCACCGCATGGTGGCTATGTGCCGCCGTACACGGCCCAGGGCACGGTGCCGCTGTACATTTACGAGCAGCAGCTTGCGGAGCAAAAGCTGCGGCTTGCGCAGCTGCAGGAGGAGACGATGCTTATTGCAAACGACGCATGAGGCACAGGTGCGTTCACAGGTAGTTACCGGACGCCTCGCGGCGCTTGAACGTCGAGTACGAGGTCGACGAGTCCGAAGCCGAGATGGACGACGAGGTCGAGATCGAGGTACTGGAGAGCCCGAGCGGAATAGGCTTGTCCCACGAGGTGCCGAGCCGGGAGCGGACCTCGTCAAAGTACGGGTGGCGCATGGCCTCGGCGGCTGTCAGGCGGTTGGTGTGGTCGTAAACGAGGACGCGGTCGAGCAGGTCGAGCGCTGCGTCGGTGGCGCGGCCGTCATCGTAGGCGGCGGCGAGGCGGCGCCAGTCGACGCGGTCGAGGTGGGCCGCGGCCTTGCGCTTGGCCTTCTTCTTCTTCTTCTTCGTCGCCTTTTCCTTGACTCGTGGTGTCGAGTCGTCGAGCGACGACGTCGCCACCTCATGCTGCTCGTCGACGGTCGAGGTGGTGGTTGGCGGCGGGCTCGGCAGCGGCGACTTTGCCTTTGCCTTTGCCTTTGCCTTGGACCGAGACTTGCGGCTCCGGTTGTAGAGCGCGTCGGGTGAGTAGTCGACGAGAGCACGGGCAGGAAAGTCATAGGCGGCGAGGTAGGCCTCGTAGTCACGGAGGCCGAGGTAGCGGACAACCGAGGCGAGCTGCATCCTGTTGGCGACGCGCTTGTCGGCATGCGGGGCCGAGGAGAAAAGCGGAAAGCGCTTGAGGACAAGGGTGCCCATGACACAGCCAAAGGCCCACATGTCGACGGCGTACGAGTACTGGCGGTAGTGGAGGAAGAGCTCGGGTGCCTTGTAGTTGCGGGTGCCGGGCCACGACGACATGGTGGCGTCCGGAAAGTAGAACTCGGCAAAGCCCCAGTCGATGAGGCGGAGCTTTTGTGAGGCGCGGTTGTACAGGATGTTGCCACCTTTGACATCGCGATGGATGAGACCGCGGGAGTGGGTAAAGTCAAGCGCAGCGAGGAGCTTGTACAGGTACAGCGGAATCTCGAGGCCTTTGAGGGCAAGGAAGAGCGTGTTGAACGACGACGACTCGATGCGCTCAAAGAGCAGGAGGCGGACGTCCGAGCCGGCAGTGACGTACGAGCCGCCAAAGGCGACAATGTTTGGCCCTCCTTGCACAAGCTTAAGCATGTGGATCTCCTTGGCGACACGGCCCATCCAGACGTCGGAATCGAGCGGACCGCGGTTGTGGACCGGCTTGTTGGCGAGGGTCTTGACACAGAGCTCGGCGCCGCAGCGGAGACGGCGCGGGAGAGAGACGCCGTCCGGGAGGCTGTCGCAAGGCGGATTGCGCCCGACTCGGTCGACGCGATAGACTTCACCGTAAGCGCCGCGCCCGAGGGTCTCGGACCAGTCGACGGCGAGGCCAATCGACTCGAGCGCAGGCCACTCCAGCGGGCGAGCCAGATAGTCGAAGCGGTCGGCAGGGAGCCGCCGGTTGACATTGGCGTACTCCCTGGGTGCCACGACAGCCTCGGCAGACTGCAGCGACGAGAGCGACGACTCGCCGGGAGCGCCATCAAACAGCTCGTCGGTGGCCACCAGATCTGAGGGCAGCTCCTCGTCCCCATCCGACCACGAGGTCGAGCCGGTGGCTCGAGGCGGCGTGCCAGCGCAGGCCCCACAGCATAGCCACCATGAGTCGGTAGCGGCCACAGCTGCGGCTCTGCGCGACGAGCTACGCGGCGAGTCAAGCCAGAGCAGCGAGATCGAGTCCTCGGACGACTCGCCAGCACCACGTCTGCCACTGCGCCTCTGTCCGCGGCGGGTTGCCTTGCGTGCCGGCGAAGTATGGCGCGTCCGCGACGGTTCCGAATGAAGATAGAGCTCATCCGAAGACGTTGGCTGGACACCTGGACGACCGATGGCATTGGCATCCGAATACGGCGAGGAGCTGACGGTATTGGCAGAGACCGGGCGGAGGCGGGAGGAGTCACTGGGTGTCTCCTGTGGGTATGTGCTTGCTGTGGAGGTAGCATATGTTGACGACATAGCACGGGTCTTCCTTCGTCCCATACTGGTGTGTGTGGTGGGGGGGGGAGGGGGGAGAGGAGTGGTGGTGGTGGTGGTGGTGGTGGTGGTGGCGCCAAGGCGACGAGGGACAGTGTTGAGGGAGGAAGGGTGTGGCGGGAGGGGGGGGGGGGGGAGGGTAAGGGACACTCGAGTCTGAGTGTACAGAGCGGATTGAGGGTGTGGGTGAGGTGGGTGTAGGATGGGAGAGTATTTGGGTATGGGCTAAGGGAGGGAGTGGGTAGTGGTGGTAGTGGTGGTGGTTGGGGGGAGGGGGTGGGGGGGAGTGGGCGAAGGGGAGGGGACAGGGATAGAGGGACTGACTGATGGAGATGGGGATGCTCGATGTGTGGTGCTGGTGATGTGTGGTGCTGGTGATGATGGGGATGTGTGATGTGTGATGCTGGTGATGATGGGGATGTGTGATGTGCGATGCTGGTGATTTGTGATGCTGGTGATTGGGCTGGGAATGGTCGCATGTGGTCTCACGATGGCGGTGGTGGTGGTGGTGGTGGCGAGGCATGCAGCGGAGCATGGCATCGATGTCTTTCTCAACGATGCGCTGACGTTGGCCGCAGAGGTCCTGCCGGAGAAGCCTGCTGCGTTTCTGGCGGCGTAGTATGTTGTACCGGGTGCGGGTGGGCGAGCAAGGGCGTGGTCGTGGGAGCGGCGATAGACTCACACAGCGGCATATGATCCTGGCGCTTGGGCGCGGACAGCTTTGATGCCGTAGACTCTGGAACGCATGTGCTGGGGCGGTCGATGGAGTTTATCACGGCGTGTGCCTACAATGCAATGTCCGCCGGGAGTGCGTGGCGTGAGGCGTATGCAGGGCTGGACGCGAGCATGCTTCTCTCGGGCGGAGACGCCTTTGAGCTCACGGTCCGCCTGTTTCCGGATCTGCCGCAGGAGGTGGTCGAGGCAGCGATGGCTCGATCAGATCGTGAGGTCGAAGCTGGAGTGACTGTCGCCAGCTTTGCACAGCTGTTGGCAGCCGAGCTCAATAGCCGCGTGGCGCATCGCTTGCCTCCTCGGTAAGTGCGGCCCCAAGATTGTCGAGGAAGGTGTGGAAGCCCTCGACGGTCGACTCGAGCAGATCCATCATTTGCTCGCGGTTAGCGAGAAGTGATGCATCAGCAGAAGCAAGCGATGAGCGGATTGAGTGCAGGTATGGCGACGACGCCGACGACTGGCCAGACGGTCGATGGCGCGGCAAGCCGCCGGTTGCCGCCAGACTCCGAACCAACAGCTGTGTCTGCTCGAGCTGAGCACGCTCGGCGGCACGCTCGCGATCCTGGTCGTCAAGCCGCTGGTGGAGCGAGGTGACGAGAGCCTTGACCCGCTTGCGCTCGGCGCGGGCCTCAGTGGCGCGGGCACGGGCTGCGGCCGACGAGCGAGGGCGTGCGGCGCGGCGCGGCGAAGTCGGCGGTGACCGTGCCGGTGCCGGTGAGGACTCGTAGAAGAGCGCCTCGACGACAGGATCACGCTGGCGAGTGGGCGAGGCATCAAAGTGCGGGCGGCTGGATGCAGGCGGCCCAGCGAGCGCGCGCTGCAGGCGGGCTTCGGCACGTGTGGCGTTGTCGACAAGCGTGGCCGCTAGCGCATCGACGGTGTGGCAATCAAGGTCTGGTGCGTTGCCATCGAGAGCAAGGTCAGCCAGGCACGTCGACGGCACGACCAAGTTGAAGGCGTCGACGCCGATCTGGGTCACTCTGTTATAGCGGAGGTCGAGGTGCTCGAACCACTGGTCGTCGCGGAGGCCAGCGGCGAGGGCGGCAGCACCGACGCCGGTCACCCGGTTAAACGCAAGTGTGAGCCTGAGGATTCCCGGCGCGTGAGAGCTTGGCAGTCCCGGCTCGTCGCGAAGCGAGGTTTCCCACACCTGGGCATGCCGGGCCTGCGACTGGGCGTGAAGGAGGAGGCCGAGCCGCTTGGCGCCGGCCTCGCCAAGCGCGTTCGCGGAGAGGTCCACGACTCGGATTGAGGGCGAGCGCGCGAGCGCAGGCGCCACCCAGTTGAGCATACCGTCGTCAGTGAGCCCTGTGGCTGCCAGCGAAAGCCTCTCGAGTGAGCCACGGTTGTCGGTGATGCCCGCCGCCAGTTTGGCCAGTGCATCAGGCCCGAGCTTGGTGCCCTCAAACGAGAGGCGGACAAGGTTGTGCGAGGCAGCGACATGGACTCGCAGCGCATCAACTAGGGCGCGCTCAAAGGCGGTAGTCTTTGCATTGCGAGTCGCACCATGCCGCGTCCGGCGCAATGATCGCGTTTGCGGCGCGCCTTGGCGTGCAGCACCATCAGCGACGCTCCGCCGCGGCGGAGCTCGCCACCAGTCGACGTCAGGATCGTACGTCGCATCCGGGTTTTCCATCAGTGCATCGTAGGCTGCAGCGCGAGCCGCCGACACTGCCTCGACCCGGCGGTGCTCGCCAGCGTAGTGAAAGGCGGTCAGGCCGTGGTGCTTGGGCAGTGTGGCGATGAGGGCAGCGCGGTGGCCGGGCGGGAGCCGGGTCGAGCCGGTGACGGTGACGGTGGCGTGCGGACGGAGGGCAGCAAAGACCCCGTTGGACGGAAGTGGGGCTCCAGGCAAAGCCAGTTGACCAGCAGCACATAGCGCACGTCCAAATGCTACGCCCCCGCCGCGCTCCGCGCGCTTTTTCATCATGCGCCGACGAGTGTGCGCCCCCCTCAGGCCGCGCCCGAGTCCGTTGGCCGGCGCCCGGGCGGTGGACTCGGAAGGGTCCAGGGGAGTATCAGTGCCGATCTAGAGTTGGACCAAGATGGAGAGGTGCATGAGGGGATGTGGAAGGCTAGATCGCCGGTGTGATGGGCATGGTGCGGCGTGACACAGGGAGAGGGTGCTTGTAGTGGGCTGGGGCAGGCGCAGGAGGTTCGCGCGATCATCCGTCTGCGATTTCGAGCCACAGCTAGCGTTCCGGTGGCGCGATGGATAGAGTTCAGCGGGGTGGATGGGTTGGTAGGTGGAGAGGTGATGGAGAGAAGGGGTAGTGTGATGTAGGAGGTGATGGGGGGTGGGGGTGAGGGGTTGGACTGAGCTGTGGATGTGGAAAAGGGGCTGTCTGTGGTGGGAGAGAAGGTTGGGCAGCGCATGATCGGCTCCGATTGGTGGGCTGTTGAGCTCGACACACCACCGCGATTACGCCATCGGCTGACTGCTGGAAGCCCAAACCCACACTGACCTGTAGGGCGCATGTAGACAGCGTAACCCCCCGTCATCGCTCCCCGCTCCTTGCTTGTCCTGCGCTAGTCGGACCCGGCCAAGTGTTGCGCGATCCCAGCAGATGGCTCGGCTCGCCCGCCGCCACAGCACCCACCCCGAGTGCGCCATCGGCTGACTTCTGAAAGCCCAAACCCACACTGACCTGTAGGGCGCATGTAGACAGCGTAACCCCCCGTCGTCGCTCCCCGCTCCTTGCTTGTCCTGCGCTAGTCGGACCCGGCCAAGTGTTGCGCGATCCCAGCAGATGGCTCGGCTCGCCCGCCGCCACAGCACCCACCCCGAGTGCGCCATCGGCTGACTTCTGAAAGCCCAAACCCACACTGACCTGTAGGGCGCATGTAGACAGCGTAACCCCCCGTCATCGCTCCCCGCTCCTTGCTTGTCCTGCGCTAGTCGGACCCGGCCAAGTGTTGCGCGATCCCAGCAGATGGCTCGGCTCGCCCGCCGCCACAGCACCCACCCCGAGTGCGCCATCGGCTGACTTCTGAAAGCCCAAACCCACACTGACCTGTAGGGCGCATGTAGACAGCGTAACCCCCCGTCATCGCTCCCCGCTCCTTGCTTGTCCTGTGCTAGTCGGCGCTGTTGGGACGTGTTGCGTAACCCCCCGTCGTCGCTCCCCGCTCCTTGCTTGTCCTGCGCTAGTCGGACCCGGCCAAGTGTTGCGCGATCCCAGCAGATGGCTCGGCTCGCCCGCCGCCACAGCACCCACCCCGAGTGCGCCATCGGCTGACTTCTGAAAGCCCAAACCCACACTGACCTGTAGGGCGCATGTAGACAGCGTAACCCCCCGTCATCGCTCCCCGCTCCTTGCTTGTCCTGCGCTAGTCGGACCCGGCCAAGTGTTGCGCGATCCCAGCAGATGGCTCGGCTCGCCCGCCGCCACAGCACCCACCCCGAGTGCGCCATCGGCTGACTTCTGAAAGCCCAAACCCACACTGACCTGTAGGGCGCATGTAGACAGCGTAACCCCCCGTCATCGCTCCCCGCTCCTTGCTTGTCCTGCGCTAGTCGGACCCGGCCAAGTGTTGCGCGATCCCAGCAGATGGCTCGGCTCGCCCGCCGCCACAGCACCCACCCCGAGTGCGCCATCGGCTGACTTCTGAAAGCCCAAACCCACACTGACCTGTAGGGCGCATGTAGACAGCCCCCCCTCCCCCCTCAAGCTGACCTTATCGTTAGCCGCTTTGCCACGCACGAGGTCATGGAAAGCTGTTGTCCTGGCGTCTCTTACCGCGCAGGCGGCACCAGCCGCCCATCCATCCCTCTCGCCCTTTTCATCCCGAGTCACCGCCCATCGCTGCAATCCAGCCGATCTCAACTGGCTTATCTCTGTTCGCTTGCATTCCAGCTCTGATCGCCCGCAATCTGCTCGGGAAATGGTCTGGCCTGGGCACGACCGCCGCCGCGTGTGTGGGCGAGCGTGCGAGGAACAGGGGATGACTGTGGGCGGCGGCAAAAGCAGCCCGCAGTAGCCTGCAGACAAGGTCACAAACACACGCCGCCTCCCGGTCGACATCCCCACGCCAGGCAATAGCCCCTGCCTCTGTTTACTCATGCTGTATCACATCTATTTGTTCTCGCACAGGATGGCGGGGTGGGGGGCTGCATGGCACGGAAGGCGCGATTGGGACATCCTGTGTCGCCTCGCTCGTCTCGGGATGGCAAGCCAGGCAGGCAGTGCAGAAAAGCACCAAGGCCACTCCACCCACTCCATACCCATCGATTGCACCTCATCTACATCCTCTCCCCTCTCTCCACCTCCCTTCCACTCGCTCTCTCCACCTCCCACTCCTTTCTCCTTCCGCACAACAACACACTACTTTCTACCTCCACCCCGCCTTCACCACCCGCACCCCCCTTCCCCCACCCCCCACCCGCCGTCCGAGAGAAAAAAATTGACGGCAAACTCCCCCCCCCCCCATACTGTTTGGCGCGAGAGTTCATTCATCTGTTTGGCGCCGTCTTTCTGGGCTTTTTGGCGGTTGACAACCGTTTAAAATTTTGAAGGCTGCGGAGTAACGGACTAACGACCAACGACCAAGACCAGCTCGTCGCACGGCTGGGGCAGAGGGTGACCGGTGACACCATTGGTGCTCTACTTGTACACCCACTCATCGCTACTTCCTCTGCATACAACAGCTTGCTGTATCAGTAGAGGGAGAGGCTCTCAGTCACCGGTGCTGCTGTACCTGTGTCTGAATACCGTCATCGCGAAGCGCTCTTCGGCAGTGCCTAGTCTCGGTGACTGACCGTTGCTTTCGACGCGCTCAGAGGCCAAGGGCTGCAGCCACGTTATGGCATCGTCTGGACAAGACGACGGCAGTTTGCCGTTGAAGCCGGTGGCCAAGAAGCCCGGCAGTAGCACGCGGAGTAGGTCGGCGGCGAGGCCACTTGGCGCCCGCCCGCTGAGCGAGTCGGGACTGCCGACGCCATCGGGCAAGCGCGGGCCTGGCAGGCCGCGGAGCTCGGGCAGCAAGCGGGTGGCGTACTACATCTGCTCACACCACGGATGCCAGCATGTGGTGCCGATCGATCTTGGCGAGCGGCTGATGCACCGGCACGAGGCAAGGTTCAAGGAGCACGCGGAGCACTTTGCACAGCACAGCGAGACTTGCCTCCGATGTAAGTCGCTGGTCGAGGCCGGCGAGTGGTCCGCCACCGGCGGCGGGCGCGACGACTTTATGTGCCGCCACCTGGGGTGCGGGTACTACTCGTCGTCGCCGCGGCCGGCCAACCGAAAGCAGGCTGTCGAGCGGCACGAGAAGGCCTTTCCCATCCACTACCACCACTTTGACACCTGCCGAGGCCAGTGCGATCTGTGTAAGAATCTGCTGGATTCGGGGACATGGCAGGCCGACGCCGGTGAGGCCTGGCGGACTCGCGACAACAACCAGGTCAAGGCTCGCCTGACTACCAAGGAGCAGCAAAACACGGAGACTCCGACTCTGGCCTCACTGCGCGGCCGCGATGACGTCATCCTCATCCGGGTCAAGCCCAAGAAGCCCAAGGTGTCCAAGGCTGCCGCGGCGCGCGCTGCGGCTGCAGCTGCCTCTGCCGCCGAAAAGGCCGGCGGCCCATCCAAGACCAAGCATGGCTCGGCCTCGCGGAGCAAGTCCAAGTCGATCTCGCACTCCAAGTCGTCGTCGACCTCGCCGCCGCCCACCACCTTTATCAAGCCATCGGCGCGCAAGGCGAAGCCTAGCTCACGAGGCAAGAGCAAAGCTAGCCAGCTCGCAAGCGGACTCACGGTTGGCCGCGCCAAGTCAGACTCGTCGGCCGCCGTGGCTGCGCTCCGGCTACTGGCGCTCAACGCGCCGAGCACGGGACGGACGGCAAGCTCACGCTCGCCGCCGGAGGGTGAGGATGGCGAGAATCCATCGCTGCGGCGCCGGGCGTCGGCGCTGCCAGCGCTCGAGGTGGCGAGTGGCGGCGCTGGCCGGACCGAAGCCAAGGGCCGCGACGCCGACCCTGCACCATCGCCGTTGCTCTCGCTGCCGTTGCGGCGCAAGATCGTGCGCGCGCCCAATCCGCCGCCGCTGGAGACAATGGAGACGCTGGACTCGTTCTCGTTCTCGGGCGATGGCGACTCTGTGGCGTCGCCGAGCGAGGCCGAGTCCATGGCAGACACGCTCGAGGCCGCAGCGTTGTCCGGCGGCTCGAGCGGGCTCGATCTCGACGGTCTTGCATCGCCGCCGGGCATGGCGGTCAAGCGCTCGCGCAAGCGCGGGCTCGACATCGAGCTGCCACCGACGTCGTCGCCGCCGACCGGCTCGCGGCCAAGCTCACGGCCGGGCTCATCACTCTCGTCGACCGGCTCGACCGGCGGTCCTCCAAGCAAAAAGCGACGGCCGCTCGTCTCGCCGGACCTGCCGTCACTCTCATCTGCGCCGGCGCTGGTCCGCGACGAGCCGGGCGGGCTCGAGGCTGCGCCGATGCGGCTCGAGCTCAAGCGGACGCCGCCGGTTGTGCTGGCATCGTCCAACGAGGTGGCGCAGCTGACCCGTGTCATGAGCCTCTCGCGGCCGGACCTACTCAACGTGGTCAATGCGCACGCCGCAGGCTATGCCGCTGACATTATGGCCGGAAGCTCGTCGCAGACGCCGCCCACTGTTCGGGCCTCGCCTTCCGGCTTCCACTCCCTAAGCGCCAAGCGGAGCTCGGCATCGCCCTCGCTCGCAGCCATGCGCCTCTCAGTTGGCTCCGAGTCGTCAGCTGGCCAGGCTGCCGCTACACTCGGCCGCTCCCCGGGCACCGCCGCGACCATCCCTTCGTCGTCGCCGTTCAAGGAGCTCGCCTCCTCGCGGAGCTCGCCATCGACGCCCTCGCGGGCACCTCCTTCTCTCTCACAACGATAATAATTGCACATCACACTTTCGCCACGCCGCGCAGCCGCGGTCAGATCAGTCTTGTCTGCATGCACTTCATTGATGGTGGAGAGGGTTCGGCCGCGCCGTCAGCGGGTGAACGTGTCAGCGTCGCCGAGCCCGGTGTACACTGTGTAGCCGCCGTCCGGAAAGATGACAACCGTGTAGTGGTTCTCGCCCGAGGTCTGAACCCCGTGCTCGCACTTGCCCCACGACGTCGGCGCGTCCTCAAAGCCGATGACCGCCACAGCGAGCCAAGGGACGCTCGCGGCGGCGGCCGCCGGCGATTGCATCCACTCGCCGGCAGCCGAGATGGCGGCCCAGAGGTAGTCGGCGTCGATGAGGCCGGCCAAGCTCACGCGCCGCACGTCCCACGCTCCGGCACCACTGGGCGGCGGGAGCGCAGCGTCGGCCGGTGCGCCGGGCGACTCGTTGAGGTAGCGGCCTGACGGCACACAATCCGGCGCGACAACCAACGGCAGGCCAAGGGCAAGGCCGGCGAGCCACTCCCAGGCCACCTCGTGAGCGAGGTCTGGCGCGGCGAGGTCGAGAATGGGAAGGCGTGTGGTCGCCGGATCCAGGCCTAGAGCTAGGTCGGCGAGGAGAAGGACCGAGTCTGGTTCGACAGTCTTGACGGCGACATCAGCGTCGGCGGCAGCGGCGGCGAGGGCGTCGGCAACCGCAGCGAGGTCGGCGGCCTGACAGGCGGACGGATCCGAGTGTTTGCGGCGGAAGCGGGCGGTGGCAAGAAGGCGGACAGGCGCAACGTTAGGCCGGGCGAGCATGGCGCGGGCACGGGCTAGGGCCTTGGGCGGGCTGCTGCGCGAGTCAACGACGATGCGGCGCGTCTTTGCCGCCCGAGCCCCGACCCGGGCCGGGAACTTGGCTTTGCTCCCCTCGATGCCGAGCGAGGTGTACGGACCATGGCTGAGATGGATGACCATGCGGCTGCCACCGGTGATGCCGACCACGCCACGGCCGTCCAGCCGCCCATCGGAGAGCACAGTGGCCTGTGCCGCCGCCAGGGCCGCCCCCGCCGCCTCGTCGAGCAGAGCAGCCAGCGGAAGCGCCGCAGCCGAGAGGTACGAGACCGGACTGATGTGGGCCAAGAGATCCACCAAGGCCTCGTCTGCGGCAGGCGAGACTGGCGTCATGTGGGGGATGAGGAAGATGGTCTTGTGGTTGTACCCGTGCCGGAGTACGGTCCGGGCCAGGACGGTGGCCTGCTTGGCGTCGTCCAGTGCGCCGCGCAGGACGCTCGCACCCGTGGCTCCTGCCTCGCTCACCCGGTGTCCGCACACGCTGCTGCGGGACTGGTGCGAGGTGGCCATGGTGGTGGTGGTGGTGGTGGGTGGGGGGGGGAGGAGGGGTGGCGGTGTGTGTGGTGTGTGTGTGTGTGTGGTTGTGTGGTTGTGTGTGTGGGGGGGTGACTAGGGCTGACCATCATCACTCTACGAGATAGAGGGCGTGGGGGTGTGGGTGATGGCGGTGTGGATGTGGCCAGGGATGGAGATGGGGG